TCTTTCAGTAAAACAACGTCTCCTACTTGCAGGTTACGCTTGTTAGAGTGCCACGTTCTTCTAGGTTGGAGCGTCGCCAAGTATCCTTGTCTCCACCTCTTCCAGAAAGCATCGGCAAGGCCTTGAACTTTTTTCCAGTGCTTAATGGAGAGGTCGTTTACATCAAAGTCACCTTCAGGAGCAGACAGAGTATCTGCCTTTTGTATCAACAACATAGATGGAGAAAGGACTGTGGGTGCGTCAGGATCAGAAGACACTGGAACCAATGGTCTTGAGTTCATGATGGCGGTGACTTCTGCCATCAAGGTAACGAGCGCCTCATGTGTCAGGTGGGATGCACTTGTTTTGAGGAGCAGAGCATCCAGAATGCGCTGAGCTATGCCTATCATCCTCTCCCACACTCCACCCATATGGGAGGAGTGGGGAGGATTAAAGACCCAGGTGAATTTGGTGTCATGGAGGTGCGTCTTTAGATCAGGATCCTCTGTGTCCAGGTTGAGTTCCTTACACGCCCCAATAAAATTTGTTCCCCGATCCGATCGAAGTGTTTTGATGGGTCCTCAACAGGACCTCAATATGCACCGCCCTGGTGCTCAAACAGGCAAACATGGCTGCCCACCGCTTGCTGTCTGCGTGGCCTCCTCTTGTTCTTTGAGCGGTCACGGTCCATGGGCCAAAGACGTCTACACCAACATGAGTAAATGGTGGTGACGGTGACAGTCTGTCTGCTGGTAACTCAGACATCTTCTGTTCCTCTTGTTTACCTCTGAGTCTTTTGCACATGACACATTTATGTATGACAGCAGAAACAAGTTTCTTTCCTCCAATTAGCCAGAGTTCAGTTAATCTCAAGGCTCCCTCTGTAAAATGATGTCCCTGATGTGCAACTTGATCATGATAGTGTCTCATCATCAGTGTGGCTGTGTGAGTCTTTGGAATGATCACAGGATCTTTATCATCAAAGCTCATGTCTGTTGAAGATGTGTGACCAGCAACTCTCAATAGTCCATCTCGGCCTAGGAATGGAGACAATTTCACGAGGGGGCTTTGTCTTGGGATTTGATCTCCTTTGAGAAGATGCTCCTTCTCCGTAGAGAAGACTTCTTGTTGTGTTGCCCTGATGATTACAGCTGTTACTTGGGCACTTTCCTCTTCTGTACTGCCTTCACCATCAGGAGCCCTCACTTTGCATCTGACTCTTTTGATCAATGTGGAGATAGCCCGCATCAGTGCCTTCCATGAGGAGAACCTTTCGAACCTCTGTGTCCCCAACAAACCCTTTGACACCTTTGTACTGATCACTGTGACCTCAGGATGGATTTCTTGATCCTGGTCTGGATGTATCAGCTCAAAGTTGTCGACAGGAGCATCATTCTCTTGCTGTGGCCTGGACAGAAATGCTGGCCCAGTAAACCAGTTGGTGCACTCAAGGTTCACAGCAGCTAATGGCAGAGTCCCATGATCAGCAGGGTTTTGTTCAGTGTTGATGTAATGCCACTGGTGTGGGTCAGAAGACTTCCTGATTTGTGTAATTCTATTTGAGACGTAGACAAAAAATCGGCGTGATGTGTTGTTAATGTAACCTAGTACAATTCTGCTATCTGTGAAGAATTTCACAGAGTGAATGTCAATGTCCATTTCACCTTTGATGAAGTCTGCCATCTCCACAGCCAAAACGGCAGCACAGAGCTCGAGACGAGGAACAGTGTGTGCAGGACGTGGTGTCAGTTTGGATTTTCCCATGACGAAGCCTACGTGACACTCTCCTGTCATGGAAACTGTTCTCAAGTATGCTACAGTTGCTATAGCAATGTCAGAGGCATCTGAAAAAACACAAAGTTGTCTGAACTGAGTCTGTGTAGCTAATGAAACAGAAACATAAGGTCTGGGGATCTCAAGCTGCTCCAGCTCTTTCATGGAGTCTCTCCAGAGTTTACATTGCTCTTGTTTCGCTGTTGGAAGTGGAGCATCCCAATCATACTGTTCAACAGAAAGCTCTCCCATTATGTTCCTTCCCCCCACATTCACTGGCGCAACAATACTTAAGGGATCAAATAGACTGTTCACTGTGGAGAGAATGCCTCTTTTAGTCAAAGGTTTCTCCTCTGAGGAAACACAGAAGGTGAAGCTGTCTGTCACTAGGTTCTAGCTGAGACCTAGGCTTCTTTGTAAGGGCGGCGATTCTCCTCCAAAATCAAGGTTCAGCCCAGTCCTTTGTGGGGAACGCTTGCATGACATTGCTGCTGTTAGATGCTATTTTTGTGTAGTCTGATGTTTGACTCGGATAGCATCTCTTGAGACATCTGCAGGACATTGATGGCATCTGTTTCAGTGGGGAACGACGCAAGTCCAACATCCAAGTAAAAGTTGCGCATGACAAACTCATTCGCCTCTGGACTCTGTTGCCTCTGAAGCAGCTCGTCGTAGGCAGTAAATAGCAACCGCTGGTGACGGACTGTTGCCAAATACACGAACTGTCATGCGAAACTCCCTCACTGTTTTCTGCGGGTTGTTGTCTTCATATCATAAGAATCTCAAAAAATCACGATGTTCCTGTTGGTGAAGCAATAAAACATCTGTTAGACATCTGCAGTAACTGCGACTGGTTCTTTGCGGAAGCTGATCAATACCCCTATAAGGGTGTTGTTCAGATCAGAACCACAAAGGAGCACGTCATTTAGAGAAACTCCCTCATGTTTAGCACTAGAATCAATCACTACCCTTATCTGTTCTGGCTTGCGTGGATGGTAAACGCCGAATAAGGGTAGTTACCTACATTATTGGCCTTCTGTTAATGGTGGAGCTGGCTCCCCTTGCTTTGCATCATATATCTTCTGCATGAAGTTGATGGAATCTTTTTTCATCTGTGGTTTCTTGTCTAGATTGCGCCTTACAGATGCCAGACGCTTCACAGCTTGAGGTCGGTTGTTTGGGAGGCGGTTCCTATGTGATCGAAAAGGTAAGGGAGCAACACAAGTGTTTGCTTCATCCTTATTAGTTTGTTGATCCATTGTTTCCAGGAAGTTCCTGTCTTCAACTGACAGATCAAGGTTGTCGTTGTACTCTGTTCTCTGAAAGACTTGGTAGCCAAGACCATCAGTCTCCCTCGCTTGGTTTGACTTGGAGCTCTGAAGATTCAGGCTTGGAGTGTGACTGCTGAACCTCTCTTTGACCTGGATCTTGTTGTTGCATGGACCCAAAAGTGAAGCTCATCCATTGTGTAGAATGTTGGTTTTGTAGACGTTGGTTTGAGATGACTTATGTGCTGCTCCAAGACACACCTCTCCTACCACAACCCATCCAAGGTCCAGACGTTGAGCATATGGTTCATTGTGAAGTCCATTGTGCTGCTTTCTGACTTTGTGTACACAGAGAATGTCTCTACCAAGGAGGTTGAGGATTTCTGCCTGTGGATCAATCTCTGGGATTTTGCCTGCGACTGGCTTGAGATTGGGGTAGTGGAGAGCAACATGAGGAGATGGGATTTCGGCTCTATGTTCGGGTATCATGTCGCACTCGATGAGAGTGGGAAGAGAGAGACATGTCATCCCATCCAGAGACTCGACAATGAAGTTGTTTGCTCGTCTTCCCGTAACGCCCATGACTCCTGAACATGTCTTCAACGTCAAAGGTCAAAGAAGTCTGTCATTGCAAGTGAGCGGTTGCTTTGTTCATCAAGAACAGTGTACATTTTGACTGCTCTTTCCGGCTGTCTGACAGGGTACACTCTCACTGGACATATTTTGGAACATGATCTGGAGCTGAACTTCCACAAATTTCAGTGCACTTTGATGTCACATCCGTGGCTGTTGGTTCCTTCTGCTTCCCGCTATGATCTTCTGATGCAGCGGAGCTTTTCCCCTTTAAAAGGAGAGGTTCTGGATGAAGCGCTGTAGTATGTGTTTCACTTCCACATTCTCTGCACTTTATTGGCACACTGCAGTCTTTCGCCATGTGGCTAGTGGTAGAATAGCATCTAAAACAGCTATGCTTGTCCTTCAGGAGAGATTTTCTTTCTTCTAAACTCTTGCTTTTGAACAGGCAACAATTCCTCAGTGGATGTGGTTTATCATGCAGGGGACACTGTTTGTCAGGGCCCATGCTGCTCTTGTCACTGAGTGTAGTTTGACTAGCTCCACCTGCTGGTGACACATCTGTTTTCCTGACAGAGATTGGCAGCTGGTGTTTCTGCTTTGAACCTGCTGGTTTTTCTGTTCTCAGGCAGGAGGTCGGACACAGGCAAAACTGGGATCAATGCGAATCCTGGCTTCCTCACTGATGAAGCCGACAAAAAATGAAAATGGAGGGTAGGGCACACCATGATCTTTCTCGAACTTTGAAGCAACGGAAACCCACTTCTCCTGAAGGTTTTATGGGAGTTTCATCAGAATGGGACTGACCCCATGTGCTGTATCCAGATGAGAAAGGCCGGGAAGATAGCTGTTTTGCTTTGCTGCCTGCAGCTCCAGAAGGACATCTCCTAGCTCTCTCAAACGCTGGTTCTCTCTGTTTGCCACTTTTGGAAAGTCCTCTATTCTTTTTAATAGTGCATGCTCTATGATTTCTGGTGCGCCGAAACATTCCTCCTGTAGCTGCCACACCATGTTGAGACCTGCTTTAGGGTCATGGATATAAGCTGCTCTGATTCTTCTCGCTTGAGCAGCTGATTGAGGTCCAAGCCATTTAGCCAGCAGGTCCAAATCTTCTTGTGGTACCAGATTCAGGTCCCAAACTGCAGACTGGAAGGACGTCTTCCAGGCTCAGTAATTATCGGGTTGATCATCAAACCTCAGTAACCCAGAACTGACTGCGGATCTTGGTGTAGATAGGTTGGGCCCAGGATGGAAAGGTTGGCTTTTGATGGACTTTTTTACATTAGGACCATAATTCCTGCTGGCTACATCGTGTTCATTTTGTGGCATGCTCACCCAACCCTTCTGTTCTTGGTCAGATGGAAGAAATGGCAAGGGATTAAACTCTTCCCGGCTGTGCTCACTAACCTGATAAGCGTTTGGGGCTTTGTAGTCCATAGCCATTTCAGTGTAGTCTGTGACTGGCTGATACACTGATGCAAATGCAGGATCAGGAGGGGGGTCGTGTGTTAGTCGATCAGAGTAGAATTCTGCCTGTTGCTGCACATACTCTTCCATGCGTTGCATTGGATCAGACGGTGGCATCTCATCTAGCTGAGTCTGTTGTGGGGGTTCAATTTCTTGTGCGGATTCCTCCAAAGCTTGAGTCTCAGCTTGTGTTGCTGCCGCTTCTTTCTCAGATTGGAGCACATGCAGGTCTGCATCTAACTCTGCTTACTATTTCAGCCGTTCAGCTTGTTTCTTCAAGATGTCTGCTTCCTTATGTGCAAAGGAAAGCTTTACTCGTGCAGCTTCAGCCTTTGCTTTTGCTCTGGCCACAGCGACAGATGTTGAGGTAATTTGACTGGAGGATAGTGAACTGGATGCCTTTCATCTTGTTTTCAGTGTTTTCTCTCCATTGTTTTTATCTGCAGGAGTCGCCATGATGAACAGCCTTCTCTGATGCTGTAACACTTGTAACTGTGGGGAAGTCTGTTTCTCTGATGAGTGTGACGAGAAGATGCCTTTTTACTATTCTGCCCTCCCTGAACGTGGACTGTTTAGTTTGGCAGATAGCGAACAAGTCTCCAATAAGAGGCAAAGTTTTCCTTTCTTCAAGGGTTTATTGTCACTTTCTGAAGATAATTGTAAAACTGAAATACATACAAAAAAGAGTATTAGCATTATATAGCTTAGAGCATCGAAATATGTTCATTTAACACAGCTTGAAATCAAGTTACAGTAAAGTCAGTATCGTAAGTTAGCATCGTAATATCGGTACAAACGTAAAACGGCCGTAACCTTATATCAATTACAGGAACAGTAATACATCAAACTATACATGTATAATACTCACAGGCAAATGTTTTCTTAACTCTTTGAACAACTAGAACTGCCGAAGTTTGTCTGCAGACTGACTGCTTCTCCTAATGCCAATGTCATTCGCCCTGTCTCTTTCGTCATACTGCCACACTCAGGCAGTGATGTGAAACTGCATGCCAGAGGGGGCAGCACAGAAAGCATAATGTCACATGCGTATGGGACCGCCATTAAATAGCGTCATAACACGTGGCAAAAAGTGCTATGTAAGTGAGCATGTGTGGACTGATAAGACTACCGTAAATTCCGGACTACAGAGCGCACCTGATTATAAGCCGCACGCTCTAATTTTAGAAAGAAAATCAATTTTGTACTTGTATAGGCCGCACTGGATTTTAAGCCGCAGATATTTACACAAAGATATTACACGTGAGGATTTTTTTAACGTTTGATTTAATCCGTATGGTAAAACAAACAAATACGGTACATTTTACGAATGCTTTTTTGAAACAGTACCTGTAACACATCGACCGTACTTTTATACGTGTCGGTAACACGCAAATAACGTTGCATATGCTTTTTTACTGAACAACACGAACTTTGCAGGGTATCAGGAAAAGTCAGTCGCCTTCTTCTTACTCCTGCGCACTAAAACCATCAAAGTCCTCTTCCTCAGTGTCTGAATTGAACAACTTTAGGATATTGTCACTCACTTCAGTCTCTTCGTTGTCGCTCTCACTTGAGCACTCGCGGTCCTCTTCATCACGGAGCAGCCCAGCCTTCCGAAACCCGCCGGTGATGGTGGATGTTTTGACGCGGCTCCACGCATTTATAACCCACTGGCAGACATCAGCAAAAGTTGCCCTTCTCATGCGGCCAGTTTTGGTGAAGGATTTCTCGCCCCCCGTCATCCAAGTTTCCCACTCACTGCGCAGTGCCACTTTAAATGCACGGTTAACGCTGATGTCCAGTGGCTGCAAATACTTCGTGGTGCCCCCTGGAATCACAGCTGGGATAGAGTTTGTACTCTTGATGGCAGCTTTCACTGAGACAGTTATATGGGCCCTCATGCTGTCCATCACGAGCAGTGCTTTTTTGGTGAAAATATCCCCCTGGACGCTTGCCATAGCACTCCGTAAGCCATTCCTTCATTAGGCTTTCTTCCATCCAGCCTTTCTTATTGACTTTCACCACTATTTCTTTTGAGATCTTTTCCTTTGGCATTGTCAGACGCTTAAAAATCACCATGGGTGGGAGCTTTAGTCCGGATGCTGTGCAGCTCAGAACACACGTGAAGTGCGTCCTCTCGTGGCCAGTTGTTTTGATTGTGATGGACGAGTCACCTTTTTTATTTACAGTCCGGGTCAGCGGCAAGTCAAAGGTCAAAGGTACTTCATCCATATTTATTATGTCATTTAGCCCGATGGAATGCTCCGCTATCTTTGTTTGAGTAAATGTACGGAAGTTAGCGAGTTTTTCCTCGTAGTCGGGAGGGAGCTGCTGACACAGCGTCGTGCGTGCCCGGACGGACAGGTCTTTTCGTTTCATAAATCTGAAACACCACGATGGCCCACCTCCAAAATCTTCGATGTTCATCTCGGTGGCCATTGCTTTAGCCTTCAGCCTGATCTGCACGGTGGAAACTCCGCGGCCTCCTGCTCGCTGTGTGTTCACCCAGTCTTCAAGGGAGTTTTCCAGGTCCGGCCACCTGCTGTGATTACCTCTGAAAGCTTTTGTCGTCTTTTTGCATCGAGTCAGTTCTTTGCGCTGGTGTCTCCACCGTCTCACCATCGATTCATTTACGCCAAAACGACGTGCAGCACCTCGATTTCCTACTTCAATCGCCAGACGGATTGCCTTTAACTTAAAAGCGGCATCGTATGCTTTTCTTCGAGTATCTTCCATGTTGATGAGGGTGAGTACAAATGACTGATTTACAAGACCGTAATTAACTGTGAAAGTTAGCATGATGTATCGCACAATTTCATTGGACCTCTGTGAACTTCTCATCAATTTAATTGGTCTACTGTTTTTGGCGCCATGAAAAAAAAAACATGCATTAGCCGCACCATATTATAGGCCGCAGTGTTCAAAGTGTGGGAAAAAAGTAGCGACTTATAGTCCGTAATTTACGGTAATTGTGTTGGATTCGCGGATAGCTAGCTAGGTCCATTTCTGGATTCCACTGAGTGTGTTTGGGTCCGGGGAGCGCTAAAGGGGTCCTTTCTCTGTTCCACCGAATGTGTTGGATTTGGGGGGAAGAAAAATAAAGAAAAATTCTGTCAGGATTTAACAATATCTATAGACTCTGTAATAGACAATAAAGAACAACTTAAAGAGTCAAAGCCGTTATCTTTAATGAGGGAGTGAAAAAAGGTAGTTCCAACCATACTGCTCAAAAATATACGACACTGAAAGTCTAACAGGGTTTCTCTGGCTCTAAATGGTGCTTTGAATCCACCAGCATTGCTGTTGGAACTTTTTAACAACATGCTGTAACCAAGACGTGAGGGCGCTCAGCATAGGAACACAGATTGTATGAGGCTGAGATGGCTGCAGAGGCCACAGCAGACTAACAGATCTGAGTATGACTGTCCCATAAGTGCAGGTGTGATTTCACCGGTAAAGGCATCATCACCTGTAGTAAAAGGTCAGCAGCGCTGGAATGACTTTAAAACAGTATATTGGTGTAATATCATAGTAATGAAAACACCCGTCAGTGCTGACAGGTGGTACATCTCTTTGGCTGTGGCAGGTGGAAATCCATGGAGATGCTGGAAAACCTTGAGGTGCTGGAAATCCCTGGGGCTGCTGGAAAACCCTAGAGATGCTGGAAAACCCTTGAGGTGCTGGTAATCCCTGGAGGTGCTGGAAAACCCCAGAGATGCTGGAAAACCCTTGAGGTGCTGGAAATCCCTGGAGGTGCTGTATCTGTCTTTATGGTTAAAAATGACCCAGTCAAGAGTTTTTAAATCAGATTTTTTGATACAGCCAAAAAGGACGTCCCAGATTTGTCTGGACCATGATGCAGACCAAAGCATCAAATGGACTGAAAAACCCTCAAAGATTCTTGTGGTTTCAAATACAGAGACACTCAGGAAATATCTGGACATTGATGGTAAAGGTTTAAAAACAGGAACAGCTGAAGGATGCCATCTATAAGAACACTACACCTGTGTGTGAAAATATGTGTGTGTGCCCCTCCTACTCATCCTCGCTCTTCACAGATCACTAGCATTCCTCCAGCCCAGCCCCCATCCTGATGATGTAATTATTTCCCAGCAGCACCTGGGAGCCTCAGCCACCTTTCCCAGGCATCGCTCACAGCCAAGTATGCAGATGTTTTTAATTGCTTTCCATTACCAAGAATAACAGCTGTTGATATCTATCACCAAATAATTCACAAGAGTTCCAGACTGTGAGGATAACATATCCCACCTGGTCACCATCACAGGTTGTCAACAGCCAAGTGCTGCCGTTGCCAGGCCTCTTGTTTACCTGATCCCCAAATAAACTGGGTTCAGAGTCACCTTCAGACAGCTTCTGTGGGGCTCACAGGATTTGAGGTTTTCTCTTCCATATCTGACTATAGTTAACTCCAGAGAGGAGAAAGAGGAGGAATCTCTTGGTCTGATGGTCAAAATTATGTTACACTCAGAAATACGGACAGAGGCTCAGGTCAACCATTTACATGAAATGCACTGAGGCCTACAGAGGGAGTTTGACCAATCACCTCATCAGATTTAGGAAGAGGGAGTTCAATCAATCAGCTACTGTTAATAAACAGCAAAGGCATCAAGCTATTCGCAAGACATATGGAGAGGTTTGAAAGTGAAGGTGGGGGCTTTTTCTTAATTTTGTTACACTGTTAGCATGTATACCAAAAACCACAAACAGACCATAATCTGTTCACCATGAACAGATTATGGTCTCTGTGCTTCCTTGTTTTCTGTTCAGTGTTGAGGTGTAATTCAGAGCAAACCACCACTAAATATCCCAGTTTAGGTCCTAGCTGTGGCAATCTGATTGCAACAGTTGAGTCTTATCCTTAAAATGAGGTAAAAGGTGAGTCTAATCCTAAATCTAAAATTAACAGGTGAGTTTAATTCTTAATCTGATGTTAACAGGTGAGATTAATCTTTAACCTACTTTACTCCCTAATCTGAGGTTATTTTATCACACTATTTCTGCTTCAGGCTTTTAACATTTTTTTACTAGTGTAAAAATTTAACATCGGGCTCTATGGGGACTGACTCACT